AAAAAAAAAAAAAATTGTCCACATAATGTAATAGTATAAGACGTTAGGCATTTTGCCGCACCAAAAGAAAAAATAACAACTCCAAGTCTCCAACGTTAGATCAATTGCATTCTATAATACACCAAACCTTTGCCCCAAAAACAATAACAAATAGAATCTTAGTTAAAGTCGGGCGCTCCCATTACATATATCTCTTGTTACAAAAAAAAAAAAAAAAAAAATGGAACCTCATCGAGTCCATATAATATCTAGAGAGATAATCCAGCCTTCATCTCCAAACCATCTCAAAAACCTCGAACTCTCATACCTCGACCAACTATGCCCCCATCTCTACTTTCCACTCATCTTCTTCTACCGAGCTCCCGATCGCGTAATCCCAATAAACGGCCCGTTCGCGCAACCCGACGATCACTCCCGTATGTCCCGACACCTCAAACAATCCCTCTCGCGTGCATTAGTCTCCTTCTTCCCGCTTCCGGGTCGTATCCTCGACGACTTCACGGTCAAATGCAATGACACGGGCGTCGAGTTCATCGATGCCCGGGCTCACTCCAAGCTCGTGGAAGACATTGTAAGAGACCCGAACGACGGCGTGGAGGAACTAAAGGCGTACCTCCCGGTGGACCCAACCATCGGCGGCCTCGACAACGGGTCAGCCCTTCTGCTTGTGCAGGCCACATTTTTCGACTGCGGAGGGGTTGCCGTCGGGATGTGCTTTTCGCACCGGGTGGCCGACTGTGCGTCCATGATGTGCTTTCTTCGGTTGTGGACTGCCGAGTGTCGAGGCAAAATTTCTGACGAGGTTGTAATAAATTTCAACCTTGCTAGTTGTTTTCCGGCTAGGGACTTCTCGGGGTTGAGCCTCCCGAGATTCCCCATGTCGGACGACAATTTCCGCACGAGGAGGTTCGTCTTCGACGAGGGGAAGCTGGCAGCCCTCAGGCGGGCAGCGGCAAACTCGGCCATCGTGGACCCCACAAGAGTGGAGCTCGTCTCAGCTTATATCTGGAAAGTTTTAATCGAGACAGCTAAATCCAAGAATGTCGAGAAAAGGAAGGTTTTTGCTGCGTTCCATGCCGTGAACGTGAGGGCTAGGGCAGGCGAGCCTCGACTCCTCCTCGAGAACGTGTTCGGAAATTGCATCATGTCGGCAATGGCAACAACTACCTCATGTGACGAGGAGTTCCATGATCTCGTTGCAATCCTTAGAAGCAAGATTAAGAAAGTAAACCAAGACTACATTAGGAAAGCTCGGGACTCGGATGGTTATTTGAACGAATTGTTCGAACTTATTGCTCTACTCGGGAAGGGAGAGTTGGAGTATTGCCGGTTTAGCAGTTGGTGTCAGTTTCCGGTGTATGAGGAGGTGGACTTTGGGTGGGGAAGGCCAGCCTTGGTTTGCACAACAAGTTTGCCATTGAAGAACGTGATAGTTTTGGTGAGGAGTAGGTGTGGAGAAGGGATAGAAGCTTGGGTGAACATGAGCAAGGACAACCTTGGAGTGCTTGAGAACAAGTTGAGCCAACTCGTTTGATGTGACGACTCAGTGGTGTAATAGTACATACACAAGAATCACGCTTAACTCGTGAAAACCCTTCAATACTATTCTTTACTTTTAAGTACCAACAGATAAAGCTAGCAATAAATGCAGTACCGCCTAAATAATATTTTTTTGGTGCAACGAAAGAAGCCAAAGGGCCTAAGCTAATACTCGACGGGATACGACACCCCGATATATTGTCATGATCAAGCCAAACATCTAATCCTTCACGTGGATTACCGCCTAAATAATAAAACCAGAAGTTACAATTTAGAGATGAATATATATATATTCTATGTATTTTCTAAATTTAACTACTACAATTGAAAATTATGAATTCATTTCTTCGGGTCTTATTCCTTCTGCATACCAAACGCATCAATGACAAAACTTGTTTCATTCATTTCCTATAATCATTTCATTCTTCAACTCATTCAATTCTTACCAAATTTCATTCTATTATACCAATCATGTCATTATTAGCTCCTTTCAAGGTTTTAAATAGCGGGCTAAAACGTTTATGGCACTGTAGCTGTAGCGGAGATTTAGCGGGATTTAGCGGTTAAATTGCACTTGAATACAAATAGCGGCACACTGCCAAAAAAAGTTATTTCTCAAATAGCGGCAACTTTAGCGAGCTATTTATTTCCTTAGTTCCTTTACTTATTTTATCCCCACTTTATTTCTTTTACTTATTTTATCCCCCACTTTACTTGAATAAAGCAATCAACTTTGGTAACCAGCTAACTTTAGTAGACTAAATTTCACACAATATCACATTATTATATCTGAAGAAAATGGTAAAACCACTTGTGTCTGTAAATAGTATTTCCAATGAAGATGGTGGAAAAAAAACGAAAATTGTCCATCCATCGACCCTACTAATTTGACTCAAGGATGGAAATTGTAGACCAGAATCTACAGCAACAATGTTTGACGCAAGGATGGAAATTTCAGGCATTTGAGATAATGGGTTGGTTAGACTGCCGGCTTGGAACATGCTACTCCTAATAATTAACGTTTATTAATTGTCAAATGATGCAATAGTGTTGCCTTGATTTCATATTATCTTAGGTAGTGCAAACAACTTCGACCGTAGGGATGTAAATGGGTCGGGTTGGGTACAGGTTTTGGCAAATTCGAACCCGACCCGCATATAATTTACCCTACCCAAACCCGACCCGTTACCCGGCTAGTGATCTTCGGGTTCGGGTTGGGTTTTACTTGGTGGGTTAGTGGCTTTTCGTCGAGTAAACGGGTAACCCGAGTCTTAAATTTAGGTTTTTCCCGACCCATCTCATTTCGTATGAAAAAATAAAATAAAATAATTTCAAAATTAATTATAATGTAAGAAATAATTTATTAACTAAGTTTGACAATAAAAAACTATAAAAAATATATTATTTTTGGAATAAATAATGAGATATGATTATTTATCTTTTATAGTCTATTTAATATTATAACATTTAACTTAAATATCTATTTTTTTTATTTTACAATTAACAAAAAATGATAATAAAATTATAAAAAATAAAATAAATTTAACCCTTAATCAAAATTATAATAGATAATCTAACTTTTAAAAATAACACATGACTACTTGTATGTACATATGATTCAATGGTTGCAGGTAAACGAGTAGGGTAATCGGGTCGGGTAATGAGTTTGCCTACTATACCCGACCCGGGGTTCGGGTAGCATAATTCTACCCTAACCTGACCCGAAACCCAATCATCTCGGGTTTACCCGACCCAAAAATGCGGGTAACCCGACCCTATGGGTTTTATTTACATCCATATTCGACCGGCATGAGTGATTTGGATCCGCTCTCGACCTATGGAAAGACCTAAAAAGTAGCATGTAGGGAGTTTTCCCAATGTAGAGGGTCAGACGCTCAAGTCGGTGAACAGTGATAAAGAAAATGAGATACAATATGTGTAATAATTGAGTGAAATTTTTATTCAATGGGACCCACCCATATGTTCTAATTTCACAATTTGGCATCATGCACATGGGTCTCTTCATGCATATGGGTCTCTTGCACTACATCTGAAATGCCCACCGCCCTATTTCACAACTTGGAGAAATAATAATTGCAATTTGAATTGCAAATTGGCCTATTGATGAGATGCTTCTCTGCCTATAAATAGGCATATTCAGCAGAAGAAGAAGGACCAAAAATAAGAAAGAGAGAAGAAAGAAAGAGAAAGGAAAGAAAAAAATAGATTTATGTCCAAATACGCATATAAAAATATCAAAAGAGAAGAAACAAGTGATATTTTTATTTGTTTTAAGATATTTCTTTTATTTCTAAGTGCTCAATTCCCGATTCTGATCCCGTTCGCCGGAGCTCGTAAATCTGGTGTGCTACAGATTTAGAGACGTTTGTCGTTGTATCTTTGGGGAAGTTACGCCTGAACTGTTAGCAACATACGGGGTGTATTCTTCTTGCGGAAAGAGTTATACTCGCCTCGGCTAAAATCTTTCCGTTTTTTAGTTGTAATCTATTTTCAGTTCAATTGTAATTTTATATTTTTAGATTATTTGTAAGAATTGAAAAAATACATATCAGTTCATAGAATTCCCGTGTAAATTCACATCAATTTCCAACATTCGCAAGAAGAATATTAGTCATCCTACTGAACTGATGGCATCCACCGGAGCAGGTTCCAGCTTTCAGCATCCGATCAATCATGTACCTGTTGTCTATGTTCCTACAGCTGAAAAGCCCAAAAAATTCAACGGGCTTGACTTTAAGAGATGACAACAAAAGATGCATTTTTACCAAACCACTTTGGGTTTGGTGAAATACCTGAAAGACGACCCTCCCGTCATTTCTGAGAATGAGACTAATGCAGAACTACGCGTTGTGTACGATGCTTGGGGGCAAGGTGACTACCTTTGCCGTAACTATGTCCTGAACGGGCTTAGTAACGAGTTGTACAATGTGTACAGCTCTGTTGGTTCTGCCAAGGAGCTTTGGGCTGCCTTAGAGAAAAAGTACAAGACTGAAAATGCCGGGGTGAAGAAATTCGTCGTCGGCAAATTTCTTGACTTCAAGATGGTTGACACGAAGACTGTCGTGTCACAAGTGCAAGAGTTCCAGCTGATCTTGCACGATATCCATTCTAAAGGGATGACTTTGAGCGAGTCATTCCAAGTAGCGGCTGTGATCGAGAAGTTGCCGCCAGGCTGGAAGGACTTCAAGAACTATCTCAAACACAAGAGAAAGGAGATGAGTCTTGAAGACCTGGTTGTCCGTCTTCGTATTGAGGAGGACAACCGTAATTCGTCAGGCAAAAGCCCGATAATGGAGGCTCATGCGAACTTGCTGGAGCAAGGCAATTCGAGCAAAAGGAAGTCCCTTAACAAAGGGAAGCAGCCCGCCAAGGTTTGGAAATTTACTGGAACTTGTTACAACTGTGGAAAGCCAAACCATATGGCGAAAGACTGCAAGAGGCCAAAGAAAGGGCAACCGAGTGCCTTTGTTGCTGAACAAGGCCTTGTTCCGAGTGAACTGACCGACTTTGATATGTCGGTTGTGGTGTTTGAAACCAATTTGGTGGATAACCCAAAGGAGTGGTACATCGATACTGGTGCCACTCGTCATGTGTGTTCTGACAAGGAGATGTTCTCTGAATACACTCCTGCTACGGGTCGAAAACTTCACATGGGAAACTCCTCCACGTCTGATGTGGCTGGAGTGGGCACTGTGGTGCTGAAGCTCACTTCTGGAAAGAAGTTGAAGCTGAAGGATGTTCTGCATGTCCCAGACATCCGCAAGAATTTGGTCTCCGGATCACTTCTTGTTGAGCATGGATTTAGGCTAGTTTTTTAAGCTAAGAAGTTTATTCTTAGCAAATATGGAAAATTCCTTGGTCGTGGTTATCTCGACAAGGGGTTGTTCAAAATTAATGTAATGGCCGTGAGTTGTGTAACCGTTGATAATAAAAAGCCTATTTCTGTTTATACTGTTGAGTACTCTGATTTATGGCATATCAGATTGGGACATGTAAATCTAAATGCAATTAAACGGTTGATGAAATTAGAATTAATTCCTAATTCTAAAGTTGAGACAATTACAAAATGTGAAATTTGTATTGAAGCGAAAATGGCTAAGTTGCCTTTTCACTCGGTGGAAAGAAGTACTGAACCATTATGTTTAATCCATACTGATGTATGTGATATGAAAAGTATGCAAACAAGAGCCGGTAAAAAGTATTTTGGAATTTTTATCGATGATTGCACAAGGTTTTGCTACATATATTTGTTAAGAAGCAAAGATGAGGTTGTGGAAGCGTTTAAGATATATAAGACCGAAGCTGAAAATCAACTCGGCAAAATGATTAAAATAATCTGAAGTGATAGGGGTGGGGAGTATGTAGCTCCTTTTGAACAAATATGTTTTGAATATGGCATAATTCATCAAACCAAAGCCCCTTATACTCCACAGTCGAACGGTGTTACTGAACGCAAAAACATAACTTTAAAAGAAATGATGAATGCCATGTTGATTAATTCAGGATTACCACAGAACATGTGGGGAGAAGCTGTTTTGACAGCAAATTATATCCTGAATAAAATACCACCTAAAGGGAAAGATGCGAAATGTGGAAAAAATCGTAAGCTGTTTTATAAATACCTGAAAGTGTGGGGGTGTTTGTCTAAGGTTTCAGTACCTGAACCAAAACAAATGAGAATCGGGCCAAAGACGGTCGATTGTGTATTTATTGGATATACGTACAATAGTACAACATATAGATTTCTGGTTCATAAATCAGAAAATCTAGAGATATCTGTTGGTACCACGATTGAATCAAGGAATGCTATATTCTTTGAGAATGTTTTTCCTATGAAGGAAAGGGCAGAATCTAGTTCTAATAAAAGAACGTATGAAACTGCTAGTGGTTCTGTACCAGAGGGAACTAATGAAGAACCGAGACGTAGTAAAAGGGTAAAACGGCTAAAACGTTTGGACCTGATTTTATTACGTA